ACACTAAGACCAGTCACATGGAAAAGTACTCAAGAATGAAAGCAATCACCTCTGAGGGAGTGGGGGAAAGAACCCTGACCAGAAAACAGAATTCAAGTCCACACACTTCCTCAGCAGTGAAGACTGCTCACCTGTTCTCATAATGTAAATGCTGGCTCAACTAAAACTATGACATAACCATAATGGCAAATGCTGAGGAGAGGCAGAAGAAGGTAATGTAATTTGCATTATTAAAACATTCAACAGGGCTGGGGATTTAGCTCAGTGGTCCTGGCACCTGCCTCGAAAGCGCAAGGTCCCGAGTTCAATCCCTGGTACCAAAAAAAAAAAAAAAAGAATTAACAACATGGGTACATTTAGAAATATGGAGGTAAATGTCCAAAGAAATAAGCAGAGGAATTTGTAAGTTATTACCCCCAAGGAGCAGGTTTAGGAGTGAGGCAGGAATCTACTGCTTTTTGTTTTAAACATCTTAGGATGAGTTTTAAAGGAGGATTCCATATATTACTTGATAAAAATTAATTAAAAGATAAAAGTTTATGTTGATATTACTCTAAACAAACAAAATTGAAAATGAGATGCATAACTATTTTATGTAGAGGAAGAAGTAGTGGACATATGTCCTTATCATTTAATTCCCATACAGAATTTACCCTAATATAGCAGTTTCCATAATGTAAGAAAGTACTTTCAGGCTGGGTATGGTGGTGCAAGCCTATAAGCTCAGCACTCTGGGAGGCTGAGGCAGGAGGATCACCAGTTCGAGCCAACCTCAGTAACTTAACCATTTGTGGTAAGACCCTATCTTAAAAGGGCTCGAGCTGTGTGAAGGCCCTGAATTCAATCCCCAGTGGACCCTTCCACCAAGGATGTTCTTTGGGGAATACTCAAATAGATCCTGTTCTGTCCAACAATCTCCTGCCCAACAGTCATCCATAATTTCTTCACTACGCACTTCCTGTCCTTGGGGCTGGGAGGGTGTAACTCTCGGTACAGCATGTGCTTTCCATGGGTGAGGCCTGGAGCACCCCCAGCAGTGCAGAAACACCAAAAACCAACAACAAAAAAGCACCCAGCAGACAAAACAAGCAAACCAAAAAAATAAAAGCCATCTTCCCATTCTTCAAAAATAGCAAGATCAAAGAGCAAGGACCCGAGTTCGATCCCTGGTACCAAAAAAAAAAAAAAAAGCAAGGTCAGAATATGATTTATCAGCTGCATGCTTGTGAATGGCCCTGGCCAGTCACCTGGCCTCTCTAAAGCAGATTCACCACACAGCCCTCGCAGGTTGCTGTAAGCACTGAATGAGGGTGGTGTGTCACTACCTGCATACTGGCGGGGCCAAACCCCAGGTCAATGTCAGTACAACTCCACGACTGTAGCTCCTGGCCTCTTGCATTCACACGCGTGGCCTGTGAGGCCAAGATCATCTCTTTTATAGAAGACAACACTGTCTCCTGAGAGGGGAGTTACCAATGCGGGGCAACAGTACAGGTGAGAGAGGAGAGCCCAGGTCTTCTGACTGAGCCGCAGGCTTCTGGTTGCTGGATGCTAACTGATGTCATTACCTGCTCAAGGGAGATTAGCCTGGAGAGCAGTGAGCAGCTGGGGCAGGAACCGGGCCTGATAACCAGCACCTGCCATCTGCTGGTCTATGGCTCCCAACCCCCAGCCCTGCCCGCCTGAGTGCCTCCACCACAATAGCATCCACAGAACACAACTGTTCACACTCTGGAAGAGTGGCAGGGCTAGAAGCAGCTTTTGGCAACCAGAAGATAAAAGGGTTAAGCCAAACAGTTACTCTACCACAAGTCAAAACCTCAAGTGCTCAGGGAAAAAAAAGCTCGAAACACACGTCCTATCGTTAAAACTGCTAACGTTCACACTGGCCAACGTCAGGTTCTTACAGTCTTTGCTTACGGGCCTTCCTCCAGGTTGTACCAGTTACACGGTATCTGCAAGGAAGCCCAGGGAAAAAGAGCACCCAGGAAGTGCAATTACTTAGGGTTTCTCCACTGTTGGTTTCTGTGGGCAAATCAGAGTCATTTGGGTTTTGAGGTGCCAAATCCAGGCAGCCAGAACCACTGCTAAACTGCACCTCCCTCCCTTTGTTCTTTTGTTCTTTCACTCAACACAGAGTTACCAAACCCCACATCCTGTTCTTGCAGCACTGAGCTAGGAAGAGAAGAGGCATGCAGAAAGCTTCTGCCCAACTTTGGATGGAGTCATCGAGGCAGGCTTTGGACAGACACTTAGATTCTGGGAAGTAGTGCAGACCCACCCAGTCTCTTCATTGTGGAAATAAGGAGACCAAACCCAAGCTGCTTGAACTGCGAAAGGCTGCAGAATGTGGAAGTGGAAAAGTCAGGATGGAAACTCAGGCTTCTGGTCTCCCCATCCCTACTACTATGTCATAGTGTGTGCACTAGAACACCAGGGGAAGGAGAAAAATGGGAAGGGTGTGGTTTCTTTCTGTGGTGCTGGGGATGGAACCCAAGGCCTTGCAAGTACTTTATTACTGAGCCCTGGCCTCCAGCCCTGGCTTCTTTCTTTTTTCTTTTTGAGACAGGGTCTCACTATGTAGTTCAGGCTGGCCTCGAACTTGCAGTGATCCTCCTGCCTCAGCCTCCAGTATACAGATTATAGGCATGCACCACCACACCCAGTGACTTCTTTCTTTTAAAAGGACTGGTGAATGGAGCAAGGAAGCTGCTTGTGGAGAACTGGTTGTCCATAAGGCAAGTGCAGGTAGCAGAGAGAGGAAGGAAGACTTCAAGATTGCCTTTCTGCAATGAGGTTGGGCTGCTGCCCAAGAATCTGTCTTTTCATTGTTCCAGGTAAGTGAAAACTCTTTAGGTCTGGGGATAGAGCTCAGCGGTAGAGCACTTTCTTAGCATGAATGAGGCTCTGGTTTCAACACCCAGAGCTGCCAAAACAAAAACAGACAAACGAAACCCTAAAAACCCACAATCCTTTTAGTCCAGCTCTCCTGCCCTTCATGATGGGGCCCTTACCCCTGGTCTAGCTTCTCATCTGACTCTCCCGCCCCACAGACCCTCCACTTCTGCTATACAGGTTACCCCACCCCATCCAAGGACCTTGTCCCAGGCCCCTTCCACTACCAACCATTTTCTTCCTGTGAGGTTCCCACTAGCCCTGCAGGCGGCCCAGACATTATAGTCCAAGGTGTATTTTTCTACAATCCACCACAATACCTTGTATTTGGTGGGCACAGAACAAGTGGCCATCCACAAATTCATTCCACAAATGAATAACAAATCCTCGATCCTGGATTTGTATAAAGCCTGCAGGAAAGACCTAATGAGCCCATGTCTCTCTGTTTTGCCCACGAGTGGCAATGACAAGGACATTTCCCAACATCACATCAAAAACATCTTTTTTTCCTTGCAAAATAGTCAGTAAATCTCCACCCTCTTTTGGTAAACCTACAAAATTAGATGAGAAATAACGCTTTCACATCCTCTGACTCAGACACTGAGCAGCATTCCCTCTGGGGTCTGTGGTGGCAGTGGAAGGGAGGGGACTGAGAAGACCAGAAAGCGCAGGAAAGAGGGAAGGAAAGTGTATTAGGGGGGCACCGAGTTGTGCTGCTTCTTTTCTGTGTTTTCTTCTCCCGCAAGGCAACTATCCGCAGGGGGGCGTGTCACTTCCTGTGCCCGCAGGCGGGGGACCGGGGTGGGTGGGTAGCGTTCTCCTTCGCAGTCACGAAGTAGCGGACATCCCACAGCGCGATCACCTGGTTCCCAGACCCAGTGGCGGTGGTGGGAGGGGCGGTGTCTTAAGAATCCTCTGTCTGTCCTCAGGGCTTTGCCCCTCTGGGGAGGTGGCCCTCGCCACCCCTCTGCAGATGGTCCGGCCACGTCCCTGAACCCTGCAGGGCGCCCGCGCGGCACCATCTGCCGGGTTCTGCCTGGGGTTGGAGCTGAGGTCCGTCAAGGTCCCGACCTTCCGCAAAGCCACCCTGCAATCCGGCTCCCCAGGATGGCTCGGGTCCTTTGGCTGCATTAAGGGCACAGTAGTAGGATCGGTCTCCCTGGGGCTAGCCGTGCCGGCCGGCCAGAGAAGGGGGACTTACAGGGTGCACAGCCCCAGACCCGCCCCGCTCCTCCCGAGGTCCCCTCTCCTGCCCCTTTCCAACCTGCCCCGCCAGCCTCCCCCGCTGGGCCCCTGCCCTCGGTCTTCCCCAAGCTCTGAGGCCTGGGCGGAGCTGTCACTCCCGCCTCCAGTCTTCGACGGCGGGTCAGGTTGTGCAACCCGCGCTATGCGATCGTTCCTTCCTCCAACTCCCTCTCTTCCCAGATCTACACCGCAACTCCCAACTTAGCTTGCGGAGTGTCCTCGGCGCCCGCGATCTTAGTGCGCTAGCCCTAGACTCCTCCGTGACCCCTCAGCGCTGACTTCCTGCCTCCCCAGGTGCGGCACGTAGTCCCGGACACCCGCTCGCGCCCCGGTCCGCTCCCGCACCACCTTCGGGTGCCCCCGCCTCGGGGACGTGTCGGAGTCTCACCTCCTGCGAGCAGGCGGGCGCCGGATGGTCCAGGAGCCGCAAGGAGGAGCGACCCGGGGCCAGCATGCTCAGGAGCAGGAGCAGCAGCCCCAGAGGGGGCCCCGGGACGACGGGCGGCCGCCGGCGCCGAGCCCCCATAGCTGTGGCACTGTCGCTGGGGGCTGGCGGCAGAGGTCTGGGGGCGCAGGGAAGGGTCGCCCGGGACTTTACCGTAGCCGAGCGTGGCAGCCCCCAGCGCCCAGCAAGCTTCCGGCTCCCAGCCCGCCTCGAGGGGGCGGGATGGCGGGCTGGGGGGCGGAGCTGGGGCGGAGGCGGGGCGGCCTGGAGGGGCGGGGCGGGGATAGAGCGGGGATGGAGGCGGGGAGGTCCCTGTCCGCGTGCGGCGTGCGCGCTCCACCCCGGGTGCCGCCGCCTGGACTTCTGGCACGTCTGGGCCGGCCTGCCTAGCGACTTGGTAACTTGTTCTTGCGCCTTGGCGCGCCCCGAATTACTCGCCGTCCTCATTGTCACACCGTGAAAGTGGATTTTAATCCTTCCCTCCCCCTTTGCTCTCTTCCCTTTCCTTTCTCTGCTTAATTTTGCGACCAGCCCCCAACTCGGGGCTCCAGGAAGTCGGTTTCCTTAGCCCTGTCCTTCCTCAGCCTCACCATCGCTCTGCCTTCTCGGTCTTTCTCTTTCTCACTGCAGCGGGGCTCGGCTCCCGGGAGGTTCCTCCCCTGAAGGAGGGTCGTCAGCTAATTTCCTTTTCGGGCGATCCCCGACCGGCGGTGGAAACCCACTGTAAGTTGACAGTATCTTCGATCAAAGTGCATCAGGCTCACGGTAGCTGAGGCCGGACATTGCAGGGTATGCGGTTTCTACTGAACACAGATGGCTTTTACACCATCCTAAAGTTGAAAAAGCTGAAGTGGCATCATCCTAAATCAAGGCCCATCCGTTCTCTAGAATGGGGTTTGCCTCTACTCTTCTCAGACCCTGTAAGGGCAGCCCAAGTCGAGCTCGGTCTCCCAGCTCCTCTGTCCCTGCCACTTCCTCCTTTCCTGGGTCAAGGCCTTGATCCTCCTCCACCACTATTTCAATTTACCCGCTCCAGTCAACTGCCACTTTTCCCTTTTCCTTCCTTTATCCCAAACCCACCACTGATGCATTTCTTTCCCAATCAACTCTAGACTCCATTGCCCTGCATGTGATGCCCTCCGAATGTAAATTTACTGGACTTTCCCCTGTATTTTTCACCTACCTGAGTAGGAGCTCCCAGATCTGGGGCAGTGGCTTTTCCCACTGCCCAAAGCACTCGGCCTTTTTCCCGAAGCTGGCCAACCTTTGGCCACCATCACTGTAACCCACCTGCAGGACAAGACTCAACAGAAAGAGTGGCTCAGCTAGCTCAGTGGTCCCCAGATAGCTTTTTGCTTATTGGTAAAAGAATTTTGGAGAATTCTGTGTCCTCTTGTGCATTTAAAGATGAGAGCAAAAACTTTTCTTCCTAAGGTTATTATTATTTTTTGAGACAGAGTCTCACTATGCAGTTCACAGTGGCCTTAAACTCACTATGTAGCTGAGGGTGGCCTCGAACTCGTGGCATTCCTCCTGCCTCAGCCTCCCAAGTGCTAGGATTATTACAAGCATGCACCACCACACCGACATTCTTCCTCAGGTTAAATAGATGTAGTCTCTGGAAGCATTGTGTACAGACTGACATTTGAGGCAGGCAGCTTCCCAGATGGACTAACTCACCACCTTTGGAATCCCCCTCCGTTCCGGGTAGGCCGGACCTAGTGACAGTGAATAGAAAAAGGCAAAACTGATGAGCTGTCACTTAACACTCTCCATTATAGAAAGACCAAGACTGCTGTGCCGCTTAGCCTCTCTCGGGGAGAGAGGCCACACTGAGCCACCCTGTGGAGCAGCTCACCCTGCAGGAACTGGGAAGGGCCCCTGTCAAGGCCAGTGAGGAGTTGAGACCCTTGTTTCAGTACGTGATCGATGCAAATATGAATATAATATATACATTGATAAGGAATTTTTTTGTTTGTTTTGTTTGGTTTTTTTTTTGGTACTGGGGATCAAACTCAGTACCTTGCGAGGCAGGCAGCAGAACCACTGAGCTAAATCTCCAGCCCTTGTTTGTTTGATTTTGAGATGAGGTCTGTCTATGTTGCCTAGGCTGTCCTTGAATTCCAGGGGTCAAGAGATCCTCCTGCCTCAGCCTTCTCAGTAGTTGGAACTACAAATGTGAGGCATGGTGCACAGCTGGATAAGTGACTAAGAAACAAACATAAACTGGTATTTGAAATTAATGAGATGAATGGATTTTGAATCTTTTTTTTTTTTTTTTGTACTGGGGATTGAACTCGGGTCCTTGTGCTTGCTCGGCAGGTGGTGGAACAACTGAGCTAAATCTCCAGCCTGAATGGATTTTTTTCTTCATTCATTCATGCATCCCTGGATAAATATTACTTATAGGATGAGGTAACATTCAGCATTTTAAAATATGTAAGTTCTACATGAGGTGTGGTAGTGCATGCCTGTAATTTCAGCACTTGGGAGGCTGAGGCAGGAGAATCATTGTGAGTTTGAGACTAGCCTGGGCTACATAGTGAGTTCAAGGCCAGTCTCAACTACATAGCAAAATTCTCTCTCTGAAAAAAATAAGCTCTAAAACACTTTGCTTGCATAAATAATTCTGACAGTTTTGCCATATGTTACTCAATTTTTTGAACCCTTTCTGAATTATATGCGAAAAACCACAGCAGCATCTGTTACTTTTTTTTTTTAATGTGGTGTAGATAGTTAAACCTGGGGCCCTATGCATGCTAGGCAAGTACTGTACCACTGAGCTATATCTTCAGCCATTACTAAAAAAAAAATTTGAGACAGTGTTTCCCAGGCTGACCTTGAACTTCTCATCCTCCTGCCTCAGCCTCCTGAGTAGCTGAGATTATAAGTGTGTACCACTGTGTGTCACCCAATGTTTTGTTTTGGTTTTGGTTTTAGAGACTGAGTCCAGAACCTTGTATCCCTAGCTCTTTTTTATTTTTAAGTTTAAGACAGAATCTTGATAAGTCAGTAAATTTCCCAGGGTAGGCTCCAACTTGCAATCCTCCTTCCTCAGCCTCCCAGAGTGCTGGGATTACAGGTATGGTCCACCATATATATATA